CGCCCTCCCCCTCTGACCCACACCGCCGCCCCCTTTTCCTTCTGAACGACCCCAAAGGAGAGGCTGTTCTTTTTTGGGGAGGGGGTGGACTACAACTCCCATAGTTGGTTGGGGGAGGGTTCTGGAAATGGTAGTCCAAAAGCCGAGGGGGGCCTGCCTTCCCAACCTTTGCATCCCCAGAGCCCCCTCCCGAAACAAGCTCCTCCCCTTTTCGCGCCCCCCCAGCGCCCCCTTTTTCCCCACCTGGTCAAAGGGGGCTCCCACACTTCCCCACCCCGACGAAGGCGAAGGCAGCCGGCAACACCTCCTGTACGCATGCGCGACCCGCCCTCTCACGCTTCCGGTTTCCGCTTGGGAGGAGGAAAGGGGAGGAAAACAAAACCTTTTTTTAAAAAAGAGCCCAGGCTCCCCGTTCTGCGCACGCGCATCGCGACGGGCGAGGGACATCCGGAAGTGCGTGCGGAGGGGGAGGGGAAATGGGAGCTGCGCGCGCACGTGGAACGCCTGCCTCATAGACTCACAACCAGGAGTAGAGTTGAACTCGGGGAGTCACTTCGGAAGCTAAAAAGGGCCCGATTCCCCACCCTCTGCTTCTTCCAAAGACAGAAGCGTTGTGGGATGGGGAGCCGGGAAGGGATGGAAGCGGACGGGGAAGGCTTTGGCAATCAGCATACACCCGCGCCATCCCACCGGCCATAATGTTCTTTTCTCCAATCAATCGATCGGTCAACCAATCAGAATGCCAGAACCCTGTTAAACGGCTATGACAAAACATACTCGGAAGTTCCTACTTGGGTAGTTTATTTTCTATTCTATCTCTATGCGCTGGGGGAGGCTGCGCATGCGCCTTGTAGAGATAACGCCTTGCCCACTAAATATGTAACGACATCTTCGTCATTATTATCCGTGTGTTGAACCGCAATTCCCAGAATTCCGCGGATCTTTGGACTACAACTCCCAGAAATCTGCACATCTAGAGTATTAGTGCTCGGGGTGTGTGTTTTGAATAGATAGAGATATAAAGAAAGAAGGAACAATGTAGAGTGGCCTTTTAGGCCAGATGGGCGGGGTGTAAATCAAGTCAATCAATAAATAAAATTAATTCTCGAAGGCTTTCACGGCCGGGATCTGATGGTTGTTGTGGGGTTTTTCGGGCTCTTTGTTCTGAAGGTGGTTCTTCCTGGCGTTTAGTTACAGAGCATGGACAGAGTTCCGACTCCTGGGAGCCGGGAAGGGATGGAAGCGGACGAGGGGGGGGGGCTTTGGCAATCATCATACACCCGCGCCACCCCACTGGCCATAATGTCCTTTTCTCCAGTCAATCGATCGGCCAATCAATCAGAATGCCAGAACCCTGTTAAATGGCTACGACAAAACATACTCGGAAGTTCCTACTTGGGTAGTTTATTTTCTATTCTATCTCTATGCGCTGGGGGAGGCTGCGCATGCGCCTTGTAGAGATAACTCCTTGCCCACTATGTAACGACATCTTCGTCATTATTATCCGTGTGTTGAACCGCAATTCCCAGAATTCCGCGGATCTTTGGACTACAACTCCCAGAAATCTGCACATCTAGAGTATTAGTGCTCGGGGTGTGTGTTTTGAATAGATAGAGATATAAAGAAAGAAGGAACAATGTAGAGTGGCCTTTTAGGCCAGATGGGCGGGGTGTAAATCAAGTCAATCAATAAATAAAATTAATTCTCGAAGGCTTTCACGGCCGGGATCTGATGGTTGTTGTGGGGTTTTTCGGGCTCTTTGTTCTGAAGGTGGTTCTTCCTGGCGTTTAGTTACAGAGCATGGACAGAGTTCCGACTCCTGTCCTCTGAAGAGGCCCATGGCCACACAGGCGGGCGAAATGTCAGGAAGAACAACCTCCAGAACAAAGAGCCCCAAAACACCCCACAACAACCAAAGAAGGAACAATACGGATGTACAGAGTTCTGGGAGTTGTAGTTCAAAATTATGATGAATATGGGAGTTGTTCACAATTCTAGGGAATTCTGGGAGGTGTCATTCCGAGTTCTAGGTGTGTTAGTTCAAAATGATGAGGGACTCTGGGAGTTGTAGTTCGAAATTATTAAGAATTCCGGGAGTTGTAGTTCAAAATTATGAGGAATATGGGAGTTGTTCAAAATTCTAGGGAATTCTGGGAGGTGTCATTCCGAGTTCTAGGTGTGTTAGTTCAAAATGATGAGGGACTCTGGGAGTTGTAGTTCAAAATTATTAAGAATTCCGGGAGTTGTAGTTCAACATTCTATGGAATTCTGGGACGTACAGTTCAACCTTCTGGCGAATTCCGGGAGTTTTTGTTCAAAATTCTGGGGGATTCTGGCAGTTGTAGTCCACACACCCCCAACAGCTGTGTTGGTTACCTGCTTTCGCACTCAGACTAAGCGATACCACAAGGTGCTTGTGATGGCCAATGATGCTGGGAACGTAACACACATTTTCCCCCCTCAACCTCCTGGGAGGAAGATCATGTCTTTGAGGTTTCAAAAGGGAAAGGGGTGTTCCAGCGCACCCCACCCGTCACTGCGGGTGCTCCGTCATGGGGGTTCAACCGCCTCCTTCCTCCGAGCCACCACCTTCTGAACGTCTTCCCTGCCTCGCTTCATTTCTTCGTCCTGTGGGTCATGGAAAGACCCAAGCCAAGGGAGCGGTCAGCGTCAAGATACGGCATTCCTTCCATTGGGGGAAAACTTCTGTTTGATTTCTCACCATTTCCATGGAAAAAATAACAGGACACACCTTGCTCACCTAGACAGCCGGTCTACAGAGAAAAGACTTTTCCATCCATTGAAATAACCCT